CGTACCTAGTCAGGTCGCGGCGGGCAACTATGCGCAAGCGTTTTGAAATGCGCACAATTACCCATCTTCCATATTATGACTAGCATTCATTTTTTCGTTTCTTCTTGGCATTACTATTTTATTTTGCCATTTTATTTTGCTAGAGTCTATATGCATTATTATATTAGTTTTGTATTTTTTCTTAATATATATACAATATATGTTTAAAATATGTTTAATATATATTTATATTGCAATATAATGAATATATTTTCTGATTTCTTTGTCAATATTTCACAATTTATTCATTTCTTACGATTTTTGTTTTGCGCACAATTACCCGATGTGCGAGAAATTTGTTCACTTTTTCGTTTTTTCCTTTTGATTAAATACTTATTGTAAGAAAATTTGTTCGATGAAGATAATGGTAAAAGAATATTTATAGTTTTCATACTTATATTGCTTTAAACTTGGAAAACCATTCCAGGGCATAAATTTAGGTATGCACAGTTCCTCAATTTCTCCTATCTATATTTAGATGAATTTTCATACATATAACTGTATCTGTATCTAGATAAATTTTAAGAGTATTTTACGCATCACTGCTTGCTACCCGTATGACGTGATGGGGGCATGTGTGCGAGCACAGAGTCACATTAAAGCAATCATGCCGTGCGTATCATCATGCTATTATCATGCTGCCCGCACGATATAAAAGGGGCATGCATAAATTTGTATGCCATAAATATGAATAATATATTTTTTTTCGAATATTAATATTATAGTGTCAGCATGCGTGCGAGCGATATGAGTCTTAAATGAGAACGTATTTGCATGCGTTGTAAAGGTTACACACGTGAGAGTACTCGCACGTCTGCGCTCACAAAGCGATTATTGTGCGGGCACGTATGCGACCAATATAAGTCTCATATGATGACGCATATGTGATATGCGCGCTCGCCGTGCGGACAATCCGCATTTGGTTATCTGGGTATTGTTAGCGCATTAACCATTAATAATATTGATACGGAATGTTATGAAAACATACACATTAAAGATTGTAACAAGACAGTAAAATTTAAGTTAGATACAGGAGCGAGAATAAATGTATTATAATATCAGAAGGAATTTATAAAAAATTGAGATTAGAAAAGAAACTGGAACGGTAAAAGCTATTGTCACGGTCTAAAGTTAGGAGTTTTAAACTCATGCACACTTGAAATTGAATTCGTAACAAAACGTATCCAGTAAAGTTTGTTCATGAAGTTAGGTTAAAATCAGCGCCGCTGTTAAGCAAAGAAACATGTGAAAGGTTAAATTTAGTAAAATGTACTCAAGCAGCAAAATACGGCGAAATAACCTCTATTCGATCTTCTATTAGGTCAAAAAGTTTTTTCGACCAAGCCTTATTTACACGAATCAACGTCGAATGATGGTAAGTGGGGAAAAAAGTTGATGTCATTTTATGGTTGAAATCAGATAATGCAAGGCATTTTGCTTTAGGGGTCATATTCCAATTTAGTCAATTAGATCTAAAAGAAGGTCAGATATTAGTAACATTTTAGTAATTTCGACCTTATTTTGACCAATTTAATTAATTCCAGCTTTCGCTTTCAAGATATCCGTATAGCGGTATATCATCTAACAAAATTTAGACGCACGAATCATAGTAGTCTTCCACTCTGTCACCAGGGCTACCATAGTTTGACCACTCATAACATGTTTACATCTTTTCAATAATCTCGAATAAAATATTAACAGAGTCCGACGTTACGTCGATTTTGAAACTAAATATCGTATGATATGTGACAGAAATAAGTACGAAAGAAAATTTACAGAATTAAATTTTACACTGCTAAGTATCAAGGAACTTTTGAAAAAAAAATAATTTAAATAATTAATATTTAATTGTTAATTACATAGCAATCATAAGTTTTGCATATAGGTCAATTGTTTCAGATCGAAAGATGATCGCGCAATGCATGCCGGCAGAGAAAATCTGTATGAATTTTGTATTTGCGTCCTTCATATTTCAAATTATTTATTTCATTATTCTTTGTGTATGATATGGGAAACTCATGTCATACACAAACATACAGCTATCTAACGGCTACTCAAGTTTAACGATAGATAGGCGAAAGCGCGCGAGTGGATTTTCTTTCGTGCATGATCACAGGACTCCTTTTCGTGAAAGAGGCCTTGAACTGTCAATCGCTCTTGGCGCCCGTGGGTCACTTCAAATTTTTAATTTTAGAGCCTCCTCATTCGCATTTTGCGAAAAAGCGCCTTGTCTCGCCAGGCTGATAAAAAGGCGAGTCAACCTTCGCCACAGCTCTTTTTTCGTGGCGTTACCAGAATATTTCGTCTACTCTCTTCATCCGCGTTTGTCGCGCACTCTCGAACATCAATAAAACTTTAATCTCGAACCTGGATTAAAAAGTATCTTGAAATAGACTTTTTTCTCAGCCTAAATTACTCGAAAAATAACATATTTTTTAATGCCTTAGTTTTCAGAAATCATTTTTATAAAACATGGCGGACATTTGTGTTCTCCTTTTCATGGCTAATTTTATGTTTTAATCAGAATTTCAACTTATAAGTCAAATTTCCTTGTTCGAAGGCCAAATATCTAATTTTCAAGACAAATCTTAATCAAGGCATTTTGATTTCAAATTTATGGATTTTGAAGTCGTCTTGTCGACCAACAGAGATTGCTACTATTAAGTCTGATTTCCCTATTTACAAGTAAGATCGATTTCAAAGTCATGACTGATTGTTCCGATCGATATAAAGAGGTTATGTCAACATAGCAATTAACACATAGTGTGTTCTGTGATATTATTACAGACAATGTTATGCGTTCTTTCATTATGCACGATGCATCAAACAAAAATGATAGACGGACAACACATGCACATACGTAGGCAAATGCACACAATTGCATATAATATGACAACATCATATTAAGAAAGGATTCGGTGTTCTTGATCTCGAGTATACATCAAACGCTTATTTCGTCCACGCACATAAAAGGAGCCGCGATACGTGTTCCTTTGACGCTAAGCCGCAGAATCATCGTACTTATTTTTTGTGAATCGCCTATCGGGAAGCGCGTTCGGACGGATCTCAGTCTTGGTCGAGATCAGTCGAGTTCAGACAATCCACGATAGCAGTCGAAGTCAGTCGTTCCCGTTGCAATAATCGAAATCGGTTAGTCCTTTTGTCACTGTACGATATATAATAGTTAGTTATATTCGCCGTGTGCGTGTGTATAGCGACCCAAGACGACGGCCTCAGGTCGTAGTCGTGTCTGTCGAATATCATGCGACATCCTCAAGCGTTGTCAATCGCATGATATGCAGCAGCTCAGAGTGATTCGCCCTGAGCGCGCTATAAACAACAAATAACACGTGAATAACATACAATCGTGCGAGTGAATTATAAATGCATACACGCAAGCAAACACAATCTCGAGAGAAAACTCTGTATTCATTTTGCGAGTGAAATACGTTTTTTTATATACTCTCAAGTGTTGAGTTTCATTGTGAGTCAGCTAAACACATGCAAAGACAGTGCGATCCTTAAGTAGTTCACGCTGACCTACAGAACATTTTGGTGCCTCCTGTGAGATCTGTGCACGCGGTCTTTGGACAATTCACGCGGCCTCTGAACAATTCACGCAGCCTCTGGATTATTCACAGTTTTTGATTGACGAGATATATGGCCTTCTGGACGAGATCGTACCATCCGAACGAGAGGCAATTTTGTCTTGCATCGAGAACGATCATCATCAGTGGTATAATCAGTCAAGTGTAAGTCGTTCAGTTTAATTCGTAACGAATTGTAATCATGGCTAACAAGCTCAAACTTCTCATGCAAAGGCGCACGTCTTTAAAGGTACAAATTATCGGTCTGACGAATATCTTCGACAAAGGCAAGATCGACAACGCCGCTTTGAAGTTGCGTATTGTTCGTTTGAAGGAATTGTATTCGTTCGAGGAATATCATGACTTGTGATGTTAGATCCGAGTGATATTTATCTAACGGAATTTATATAAGTATTCAAGAGCGATACTACGATCTCGCAAGTAGAGTCGAAAACGTTTTAAGCGTAGCAAACACGTCGGACTTCAACAACGCAACAACGAGCGTTGACAACATATTGATCGCGACCGCGACGAAAAGAAGACGAATAAAATTACCGGAAGCGCCGCTGCCTATGTTCAATGGGAAATTTGAAGAATGGCTTTCGTTTAAAAACATTTGCTAGCATGATAGGTTCGCATTCAAATCTATCAGACGTAGATAAGTTATATTATCTAAAATCGGCATTGACAGGTGAGGCCACGAATAAAGTAAATATCTTCTCAGTTGATGAAATGAGTTATACAAGTGCGTGGGAATTGCTAGAACGTTCCTATGTCAAACGGATTTTAATCTCGCGACATCTCTCCAGGTTAGTAAATTTGCCTGTGCAGGAGAAAAAAATACCAGCGGTTTAATAAAGCTCATCGACGACGCTCAACAGCATATCGCGTCACTGAGCACTTTAGGTATTACTCTCCTGAGATGATCGTGTATCTCATAGAAAATAAAATACCAAGATTCGCGTTAGACAAATGGAAGGCGATGTTGAAGAGAGACGAATTTCCCAAGCTTGAGCAATTATACGAATTCGTATATAAAATCGCGATCTGCGCGTCGCGAAAAGGCGAAGATAAATGTGGAAAGATGCAAGGGCGAATCGTCGGCCAAAAAATGCGAAGTAGTCAAATAAAGCGTTCGTAGCTAAGGTATCGCGTAACTGCATAATGTGTAAGAATAAACAGTGTCCACCTTATTTTTATGATAAATTCAGATAGTTGCCTATATCCGAGCGTATCGAGAAAGTAAAGGTTGTGAAATTCTGTTATAATTACATATGATCCCATCGCGAGACGCCTTGTGAATTTTCTAGCTGCATAATATGCTACAACACACTTTTGCATCTTGAGAAACATGCAATAAAATCTGACGATGTTAGAACAACGAATCTCATGACAATATCACAATTCGCTCCGCAGTTAATGACGAGTGCGTTAGTTTACATCCGGGATAATAAGCAAAACAACATGAAGTGCCGAGCACTCCTAGACACGTGTGCCACTGAATTTCATATCAGAGTCCGTCGTGAAACGCTTGAATTTGGTGGTCAGATAGCCTATATCAATCGATGCAGTTAATGATACGAGCATCCAATCAAAGGGTGTGCAAATTACCGTACAATTGGTGTATAACGATTTTTGTAAAACATTGATTTTTGTAAATGTGTTTAACGGTACCAACTATTACGGATATGAGTCCAGGGGAGGTATTTCCGCGAGACACTATTAAAGTACCCTCGAATATCAAACTTACAGATCCGGAATTTCATGTACCGCGGGCTATCGATATTTGTTAATCGGAGCAAGCTATGCCACGCTATCGTTGTTCTTGATCGACCAAATCAATTTATCCCATGAGGATCACAATCTGCATTTGCAAAAAACCAGGTTAAGTAGAGTGGTCGCCGGAAACGCATCATTGCAAGACTCACTAATTCCCGCGAATTATTGTTTAACGAATTTAAAGAAACAGTTGGTTAAATTCTGGAAAATCGAGGAAGTTGCTACAGATAGACTTCCGTCTGAAAAAGGAAAACAATGCGAAGCCTATTTCTTGGAAAATGTTTCTCGCGATACGGACAGGCGTTACACTGTTCGTTTGCCGTTCCGCATGACAGATAGGTATCTAGGCGAATTGCGCGCGACTGCGCTTAAACACTTGTCCTCGTTAGAGCATAAACTGTCTTAAAACTATAAATACGATCTGTTTTCACCAATTTTACGACGCGAAACAGGCCGGTATAGTCGATTCTTACATTTAAGACTGTCTTAAGTACAATCTTAAAATGTCATAAGTCAATCCGAGGACTGTATTAGCATCTTAAGACATTATTAAAGGGCCGTATTCATAGTCAGAACTTATTTTTAAGACCGCCTTAAGCACAGTCTTAAGATTCCTCTAGATTCATAGTAAAAAAAGAATTTAAGCAAGTACTCAAGGCATACCTTGTTCAAGATGATCTTATTTGGAAAAGTCTGAATGTGATTCACAATCACATCTAAGCATTTGATTGAGGCTACCTTGTTAACTATGAATTCAGTCATTTAAGATAGCCTTATTTCACGTACATATTGATAAATAAGACGAAGATGTGTCTGAGGACTTAAGCAATGGATCTTCACGAAAATGTATATAAGGACTTAAGCAATGGTTTTTGGAATATTAAGCGAGTGATAATTTGTAAATAGTTGCTTCGGTTGTACTTTTATGTATAATTGACCTAGATTGATAATAGAGGTCTGCATTTTTCTGCTTTTTATACTTTCTTCTATTTTACATCGTTTATATGTGCTATAAGCTTAACCTAATCATTTTGTTTTGGAATTTTTTAAAGGACGGTTTGAAAGCTTGTATTTTCACCGGTAGAATGACAAAAAACTCCTCTTGTTATGACAATGGATTTGGAAAATCTGCGAAATCTAGAGATGGATGAGTTAAATTTTTCAAATGATGAAGAAGAAAGGCTGATACGTGCTCCTAAGCGATATTTCCGTGATTATCAAAATCCTTTTGAATTCTACAGTGAATGGGAATTTAAAAGAAGATTCTGTTTTTCCAAAAATTCAATAATGTTTGGTATTTTATCTTTAATAGAAGAAGGATTTGCTAAAATAAACAATCGAGGCTTGCCAATATCTCCTGTTCTACAATTATTAATATGTTTATGATTTTATTCAACAGCAAGTTTTCAGGTATGTAAATTATTTATATATGTGTGTGTGTGTGTGTGTGTGTGTGTGTGTGTGTGTATGTATGTATGTATGTATGCGTATATACACACACACACACACACACAATATTATATATATGTCAATAATAAAAATAAGTTATTAAATAATGTAAAAAATATATATTTTTTGCAATTTGTTTTAGGGGATATAATAACAATATCACAATCAATAATTTCACAAATTGTGTTTAGAGTGTCCATTTTATTAGCTAGCTACATTAAATCGATATATAAAAATGCCGTTATCACAAGAATCACGTTTTGAAAATAAACGATTTAAGGAACTTGGATGTGGTAATGGAGCCATAGGTCTACCTAGTACTGATGGCGCAATAGATTGCACTCATATTCGTTTGGTACATACAAGATCTCAAAATGTTGATGAGATTTTCAGAAGTAGAAAAGGAAAGAAAACTTTTCTTTGAATGTTTATGTATATACATGTATAAATAATTTAGTAGCGTTTTTCATTGGCAGAACTGATGCACACTCAGTGCACTTTAAAGCTTTTGTATATAAATCGATGTAAAGATGTATATTTAATATAATAAAAATATAGAAATGAGTTAAATCGCGAAATTCTCAATATATTTTTTTATGATATTTGAAAATATAGAGTGCATTGAAGTACGATCATTCACTGAGCGCTCAGTGAACTCTTGATGAGCTACCTGTTTGATATATACTTTATCAATTGAGATCTCACTTTTATATTCAAATTAGATTAGTGTACAACGGCTTTAATGTGCACTGAGTGCGTACTAGGTTTTGCTAATGAAAAACGCTATAAGAAAATATTTCGTATAAAAGAGCATATATAAAATAAAAACTATATATCTCATCTCATATCTCATCTCATTTTCTCTCTGTAGATTGTTGTTGGGTCAAAGAATTTTAGATATCGTACCTGAATGGCTAGGAAGTGAACACGATAGTCGAATTTTTCAAAATTCTCACATATATAGGCAAAGGGAATTGGATGGAATGCTGGTTGGAAATGCTGAATATATATATATATATATAATCCTACAACGGATGAAGAAATAAGGTTTGACATATATTTTATAACTAAAATTCTTTTATATAATTATATTATTGACACACACACATGCACGCAGGCACGCACGCACGCACGCACACACGATACAATTATTTTATATGTATTTTTTTTGTTTTAGTTATAATACGCTTCACGGAAAAACAAGGAGAATTGCCGAAAGGACATTTGGTAACGGAGATTTCCTTGTTTGTTAAAAGGGCTTACGACAAAATTATTAATCTACTATTATTATTAAGTCTATATCAATTGTGATGGTATGTGTTGTTCTCCATAATATCTCATTGATTTTAAATGATTAGTTAGAAGATAATGAAGAAACAGAAAATTTAAATAATGAAATTCCGATATGTGTGGTCGAGCCTCATTATCAACCTGGAGAAGGTTTTCTTGTACGAAATGCTCTCATTGAATGATTGTTCAGATAAAATTTATATTATGTCGTGTATATGTATCTATATATATATACATATATACTATTTCATATGTTATTCATTAATGTTACAGTATATATTATAAGCGCATAGTTGATATATATTAGTTATAAGAATAGTTTTATATACATGTATTCCTTTATTTATGACTACTTCGACTTATGAATTTTCGAATAGTATACTACTAATTAAAAATAAAGTAGTAGATTATATTGAAACTGATTAATCATTTATTAGCCAATAATCCAAGTTAAATATTAGTTTTATGATACTAAATATTATATCAAAAGTTATTTTTATGAAAAATAGTAGGTTTTTAATTATTTATTGATATAATATTATAAAAATGTATATCTTTTAACATATGTGTTCTATTAAAATAATTAGGATAAGAGGAAGATCCTCCGCGTGCGCGGGGTGCAGTAGCTCATCATCCTCCGGCCGCGTCGAATGCGCGACCGGGCGGGGAGCCCGGGGCCGCCGCGCGCGGGGG